ATGGGCAGACTTCGTGTTTGTGTGGCATTAGAACCTAGAGCAGAAGGGCGGGAAAGCTGAGACTGAGGGTCAGGAGGTTGGAGGGGAAGAACTCTTTTAGACATAGGAGGTAGACCAAGGACAAAAATACCGGAAAGTAATGGGACAAGAATCAACACCAGACGAGAGTGAGGAGAAGTATGTCAAAATGTCAGAAAACCAACAGGTAGAGGTCGTTCTATTTCCTCAAGACCCTCCAGCATGCACAAACCTGGAAGTACAGAACCCTAGTCAGCATCTAGTTTCATTTGCATGTTTTGTTGTTGTTTGTGGTATGTAGTTCAAGCTGGTCTTGAACTCTCTGTGTAGCCCGGGCTGTCCTGGAATTCCTGGCCATCCTCCTGCCTCAGCCTCCCTAGTTTTGGTATTACCTGCACGCTCCATCACACCCCACTTTGGACCCATCACACTTTCTGTGAAAACCTTATGTGGTCAATCGCCCCCCACCAAGCAGGTGTGTTGGGCCTCAACTGTCAGTCCTCAGCGATAGACCCCTCCATAATCCCAGAGTTTTAAGAGACCCAGTACCTGCCACTGTGAAGCTCTTCTTACTTTCTCTCAATCTGAGTAGTGTACCTTCACTTTCTTTCACTTACCTTATTTCTCCTTTTTAAATCTTATTCTTCCCACTCTGAGTGGCCTGCTGTTTTGGTTTGTTTGTTTGTTTGTTTGTTTGTTTGTTTTCATCAAGAATTTGGCAATCACTCTCTGGAGACCCCCATCCCGTAACACTGTCACAGTCAAGGCATGCATGAGCATTTGCACGTAGCGTCTCTGTGCGGGATCTGCGGGTCCCTGACTGAAGATGAGGAACCTGTCTCACCCCTGCAGGATAAATTTGCAGGTTTGCTGACTCCTGTCTCAAAAAAATAATTTTTAGGACATGTCAGTAAGAGACATGAGAAGGGGTTATGAGATGTTAGGACTAGACAATCAAGTGTGAAAGCTCAGAATTGATACCCATTATTAGCTGGAATTTGGTATATTTAATGGGGTGTGTTAGAGCTAGAAAGATAGCTAAGGCAGGGAGGCATGGCAGAAGGGCATCACCAAGGAGAAATAGTTCATGGCAAAGCAGGGCAGGCAGAAGGCAGCAAGCAAGCCAGAACACGTACTCAGGGTACAGTGCAAGCCGTCTCCATATGTTTAAAGTTGAAATTTGGTGCCCATCAATTTACAGTTGAAAAGGACAGGTCCCGAACCATACAATCATACTGTCTTTAAGATCTTTAGGAATTTTTTTTTTTTTTTTTT